CCTCCCCTCCCCCCCTCCACTTACTTCTCCCCCCTCCACTTACTTCTCCCACCTCTCCCTTGCCCTCCCCTGTAGCGTGGCCGAGCTGCTTGCTGGTCCGCGGTGCCGGCCGGACTGATAAGAAAGTGCTGAGTGTGCACTTCCTGTCAGTCCGGCCAGTTACAGGAAACAGAAACTCCGCGCGGAACTGGAGTTTCTGTTTCCTGTAACCGGCCGGACTGACAGGAAGTGCACACTCAGCGTGCGCCTTCCTATCAGTCCGGCCGGGCACCGCGGACCAGCAAGCAGCTCGACCACGCTACACGGGAGGGGAGGAGAGGAGCAGCCGCAGCCGCCTGAGGCTCTTAACAGAGCGCTCAGGCGGCTGCAGCATTTAAAGGGCCGGCCCTGCAGCGGCCGGTCCCAACAGATTTTAGGGCGGCCTGGGGGGCAATTGCCTCCCTGCCCCCCGGCCCAGCCCGCCCCTGGTAGTGTGTGTACAGTGATCTAGTGTGTCTTTGTGTAGTGGATGTAGTGTTTGTGTGTACTAGATGCAATGTGTTTAGTGGATGCAGTGGCTGTAGTGGATGTAGTAGTGTGTGTATTAGATGCAGTGTCTCTGTAAAGTGAATGCAGAGTGTTTGAATGTGTGGTGGTTGTAGTGTGTGTACTGTGAATACAGGATGTTTGTGTAGTGGATGCTGTGTGTATAGTTAATGCAGAGTGTATGTTAGTGTAGTGAATGCAGAGTGTGTTAGTGTGTAGTGAATGCAGAGTGTGTGTTAGTGTGTACTGAATGCAGAGAGTGTGTAGTGAATGCAGAGTGTGCGTTAGAGTGTAGTGAATGCAGTGTGCCAGTGTAGTGAATGCAGAGTGTGTGTCAGTGTAGTGGATGAAGTGTGTGTGTGTGTGTGTTAGTGTAGTGGATGCACTGTGTGTGTTAGTGTAGTGAATGCAGAGTGTGTCAGTGTAGTGAATGCAGAGTGTGTGTTAGTGTAGTGGATGCAGAGTGTGTGTTAGTGTAGTGAATGCAGAGTGTGTCAGTGTAGTGAATGCAGAGTGTGTGTCAGTGTAGTGAATGCAGAGTGTGTGTCAGTGTAGTGGATGCAGTGTGTGTCAGTGTAGTGGATGCAGTGTGTGTGTGTCAGTGTAGTGGATGCAGTGTGTGTGTGTGTTAGTGTAGTGGATGCACTGTGTGTGTTAGTGTAGTGAATGCAGAGTGTGTCAGTGTAGTGAATGCAGAGTGTGTCAGTGTAGTGAATGCAGAGTGTGTGTCCGTGTAGTGGATGCAGAGTGTGTGTCCGTGTAGTGGATGCAGAGTGTGTGTCAGTGTAGTGGATGAAGTGTGTGTGTGTTAGTGTAGTGGATGCACTGTGTGTGTCAGTGTATGCAGTGTGTGTTAGTGTAGTGAATGCAGAGTGTGTCAGTGTAGTGAATGCAGAGTGTGTGTCAGTGTAGTGGATGAAGTGTGTGTGTTAGTGTAGTGGATGCACTGTGTGTGTCAGTGTATGCAGTGTGTGTCAGTGTAGTGAATGCAGAGTGTGTGTCAGTGTAGTGGATGCAGAGTGTGTGTCAGTGTAGTGGATGCAGTGTGTGTGTGTGTCAGTGTAGTGAATGCAGAGTGTGTGTTTACTAGTGTATGCATGTAATGTAATAATGTAAATGTAATAATTGTTACTTCCCCCCTCCCTGCTTCTAACCTGGTCTAGGGAGGGGGGAGATTCCATCCCTGATGGTCCGGTGGCATGGTGGGGCCCCCGACTCCCTGTATTTGCAGAGGGGGCCCAGCAGACTCCTTCTCTCTAACTCCCAGGAGTGTGGCGTGTGTGCGGAGTGTTGCCATGGTAACCTGTGGCAACGCTCTGACGGACGCACATTGCAGGTGATAGAGAGAGAGAGGAGCTGTAATGTACTGCTGCAGTCTGCTGGGCCCCCTCTGCCGGGGGCTCGCAGCTGCACAAATATATAGTGATCATCGCTATATGTGCAGAGAGGGGAATGTGGAGCCCAGGACCGCCGGGCCCATGACAACCGTCATGGTTGTCACCCCCTGATGGTGGCCCTGGTTCTGGTGTAGAACCAGAGGCAGACAGAACGAGTAAACAGAGCTGTTACAGAGAGTTAATGTATGTTTACTTCCATTAATATTTGACAGAAGGTGAA